GTGACTTCTCAATCTGGAGAAGCAAAGGCTGTATTCCAAGGCTCTTCCGGATGTCACTATTCCGGACCACTATTTTACTGAAGGTGAAAATTTGGTCCGTAGATCCGGAAGCTTGCATGATTTCGAAGAGTCTTGTACCATTTTTACCTACTTTGACCTTTCCAGGATAATTCAAGAGAACGGCTTCCCAGAGAGTAAACAGGAGGGTAATACCATGGCAGTTAAAGCACTCGATTGCTGGTCGCCATTTCATTTTCTTTTCACTCGCTAACTGTACTTTGCGCATTGTATTCCACCAAATTGACGCTGTGGTCTCATGTAGCCATCACATTGAAATTATGGAACACAATGGCAATCTTCGAAATCCATAAGCATGACTACGCACTCATTGTATTCACTGAGAACTGATACGGTTTATCATGTTCCAGTGATATAATGCAAATTCGCGACCGCGAGAACTACGCACTACGTTAATGACCTGGCACTGTCATCTCAATGAAATCACCAATTCGTACTTCTCTCGTAGAGAGCCTTCTACTGATATACAAAATGATGGGTTAGATGAAACAGCCAATGCACATGACCACTGTCCAGTTGTACAGATTCAGAGAGATGACCGCAGACTGCTTAACGTTGACAGCAACCACCGACCTGTGCCCAAGCAGCGTTCGCCAAAAGTGGCTGCCTGCCCTGAAAGGTCGCATTCTGAGAGACCAGCGCATTGCTTAGTTCGAGAAAGCGGTTCAAAAAAAGAGCAGCAATTTTTTGAAACTTCATCCTTTAAGAGAGTCGTTTACTAGCCGCAGACGTGTTGGAAGAAAATGACCTTTGCAAAAGCAAATAACCATGTCCTCATGTACCTCTTGAATCGAATTCCAGGATGCTTAAATATCACAAATTTAGGACTTTCTGCTGTTTATTTCTAATTCACTTTACATGACGATGATAACAACATCCGTGAGCCATCCTGCTGGTATAAAGATATCACTCGGAAGAAATTACTGCGTCGCAAATGCAGCGTCGCATTGGCATCTGAGGCGTCTAGACACAAGACGACAGGTGGAATATGCCTGATATGTGATATAGAGGGATTCAAGCACTGATTAAAATTGTTCGGCTTATGAGCTATTAGATTTTAAGGTAAAGACGCAACGATTGTTGTTTTTACTGTGGTCTCTGAGTAGCACCTTTGGTTTAAAAATTTTTCATATTTTGAGGAGCTTAATATGAAACAAAACACATTAATAACTCATGACCGGTTCAAGACCAGATTTTAAAGCGCATTGCACCACCCGTTGGCTCCTAGTTGCCTTGGGGAGGGAGAGGGGCATTTTAACAGGCTACGACTCAAACTTATTGAGCACCGCCAGTGTCAAATACATCTCGCATCATTTTATCCGCCAGAGCCATCACGAACGACATTTTAGGAACTGGTCCTCCTTATATGCTACCGCACAAATATCATAAGTTGTTCGTATTAACGTGATGAGCGCGAATGGCTCTAGCGAACAAAATGATGGGAGATGCATCTGGCATGCCAGGCGCTCAAGTGACATGAAGCCATGGCCTGCTTAAATGCCCTTCTCCCTCTTCTAGGCTACTAGGATCGAGGGACGGTGGAAAACGCCGTAAAATTGGGATGTGTAAAGTTCATTCGTCAACCGCATTAACATAGTCATGATTTTCATAGATGTATTTAGAAACATACCTAATCGAGCTCACGTTGCTGCAATAACCTGGAAAAATTAGGTCGATTTTCTGTCTTGACATTACACTGAGTGGAAATGCCATGCACGTGTGATTGCGCACCCTCATCTGAAATGCGAGAGATAAGTTCTTTGGCGGCATCCGAATGTCTTCAAAAGGCCATTTGTCGAGAGGGATAAACTCCTGATAATGGCAATGTGAAATACAATTTAGAATGCCGAGAAAATATGATTTTCTTACCTTCTCTTTTTGCTGCAGAAGAGTGTTTGGTTCCAATAACATGTACAAGACATTTTTCTCAAGAAACGTGGCCATCTTCCCTACCGTTTCCAAAGTTGCACCGATACGCTGGACAGGCGCGAATAGCATCGTATGTGACATATGCTTACACCACTGTCCAAAACCGTTAATTGTTATTTCCTGGAGCGAATGACCTTCACCTTTTCGAGACAGACAAAACAAGGGCGTGCCAGACTTGCAATACTAAATAGGAACATTGAAAAACATTAAAAATAGTATATCATTTTATCTTTATAGTTGGATTTCGACGAAACTGGAAAAGTAAAGATCCTGGAAACTAAATGATGTGAAAAATCAAGTATCAAAAGGTTTAAATGCTTTTTTTAGCACATGAAAAGATGAACAATCATGAATTGGGACAAGATTCATATTAATTATTGTTTTTCAAGAAATTTATTTAAATTCAGGTTGGCTTTTGTCTAATGATTTGCTGCTTCATACCTGCAAGCTTTATCTAGATAACTGCTCACTTTGGAGACGAATCGTTAGGCTGACGTTTCTCGACATGGTCCAGAGCTCATATACAGTCTCTGCTTTTCTAGATTGATAAGTGAAGCCATGATGATTAGCATACGTCTTACAAATGTTTTCAGAGGATAAGGCAAAACAGCTACTACTTTGCTCAACCGACCAGTCAAGGACCCCGGAAAGGCCGAGAACGAGTTGGGTAAGCATCTCGTATAACTTTGCTCTAATCTCAGGTTATCCACTACTTTGAGACACCGGCTGGCACTTATACTTCGGTGACCTGAGAGGATAAGCGGTCATCGAAACTACCTCTGCCCACTTTGGAAACCCAACTTAGTGAGCATTGCCTAGCAAGACGTCTGTCAGGTTTAAATTCGGCATATTTGACACTGATTGCTAGTTTACAGCTCCACGAATATTGTACCTTGGAAAATAAAAAGGCAGAGATCACTTAGAGCATTGACTTAATTTGCTCGTGCGCTTGGCATCAAACGGGTTTATTGACCAAGAACAATGCGAGGAAATGATAAGTCTATAAGATGCGCTTGTGCGAACCTGTGAATCAGCTGAATGTGGACAATCTCATTAGCAAATCAGTAGGTCTTGTACAAATCATGCATCCCATCAGCCCATTTCCTGCAATATCACGTTGATACAATTGCAAGCTGTAGCACTTGGGTACCAGTTACAGCGTACTATTTCGTAATCAGTGTCAACGACTATGCTGAGGCTTCGTTACGCTTGTGTCCAATGCTACACGGTCTGAAGACTACAGACCAGATTATCGTATCATCTTGTTGATAAGTTAATGTTATCATTAAAAATGACCATGGCCCCGTTCTTTGCAAATTAGTGGAAAGAACTCTATCAGGATGACAGGATGATAGAAATACGGATCAAATATCATGGTGGTGAAGCTTAACAACCGTGAGAAACATCTTTCCAAAAACTTTGTTTAAAACTCTGTATTCAGTTGAACACAATCGTCCTTAATTATGCTCACGCGTGTTCTGCTCTGATCAAGGGATTAGCGTTATGCAGAATGATTGCATTTGTAACGATGCTCGACAAATTTCAAGATGTGCCTGATTCTGAGTTGCTCCTGCTCTCGATTTGGAGAGCACACGAATATGAATATTCCATTGAGCAAGGAATTTACTACTCATTGCTTCACAATGGCGTCGAACTCAGAACTGACAGGTCCTGAGTTCAAGCTAAGGTCCGAATCACTTGCCCTTCTTCGTTCTGAGATTAATAAGTGACCACCACATTGTACGAAAGAAACAGGGGTCTACAAACTACTCTTTGAAATGATGTATCACTGGCTGATGATATGGGAACGGAGATCAGCACCTTACCGTCAATTTGATGGAGAGCTAAAATTGCCAAATCATGAAAATGAGAGAAGCCCGACAGTCCAATGATGACGAAATTTCATTTCCCGTATGCTATCGCATAATCATCAAAGTACTTCGTAGCCGTATCAAGTTCGATAACAAATGACTCGTTCAATACGAGGTTTCACTTCGTATTTCAGGCCTTCGGATCAGAAATAAAAACAATTTTATTTTACTATATTATGAATTCTATTTAATAGAGCTGTGCGGCCTTCGCAAGTTGACTAGTAGCATTGGGTTTTTTCGCCAGTCACTTCATTGCCATGGCAATGCTCCGCAGTAACAGCAGTAACAAATGCTTTAGTCAAAACTGTATTTTCACGGCTATCAAATAGCCGATTCGTGACCATTCATAAACATGTGTGTGTTGCCGTTAGCTACTGGCTTCAAGTAAAAGAATGGAAATATTTTAAACTCAAAATGAGTTTCGAAAACGTGTAGATGAAATTTCAGTGTGATGAGGCACCGCTCCGAGGTGGGAAGAAAGAACCAGCAGAGTACAGGTGGCTGTGCTCTCGAAGAGTATTCCGCACTGGTGAAGCCTCAAAGATCCGTCATCTTGAACTCCATGACGGAGAGATGGACACAACGTTCTGTCCATGACGTCTGGCAAGCGTGAACAGTAAGCGCAGCCGTTTTCAATGATCGAACGAAATTTATAGCAGGAACAAGTTATGGAATGAAGAAATTAGAAAACGCGTTGGAATGCAGGGAATAGTATCATTGTCAGAAGAACGTGAACAGCAATGGGCAGGGCACGCCGTGTGACTGACCGATGACCGATGAATCTCAGCATCAAACCGACAGACGATTGGCACATAAATGGCTGCAAATGCCGAAACGGAAAACTTCGGTTGAGGTGAGAAGATGAGTATAACAGAGAAGTATGAACGCTTGTAGGAATAAATCGCATGATACAGACGAACCTGAGCATCTAGGCTAAACAGTAGTTAAACCCGTTGATCAAGAGGAAAGATCAGTCAATTGTTGTTGCTGTTATTGAAGTCGTTATCATCACCTACTGGATTACGGTTTCTCAAAGACATTGCCACAAATTTCTGTTTTCTGCCATTTTCATATACCTGGATCCAGCGATCTTGTCCAACTCATTTTATCGTCGACTCAAAGGTCTTAATACAGGCTTTTCCTTTCCTTTTAGAGCCTAGTCTAATGTCTCACCAATCCAACAATTGTTGAACACGTACCTCTGCAAAAATCGCCCTATCGCCTGGTGTTGTTATCGAGCCACAAATAGAGCCGTCGAAGCATGTTGGTGATGACATATTAAATTCGAGTGGATTAGCCATATAACTGCCTAAAAACAAGTGGCATCGATGTCTCATGTTTTTCTCAAATCCGATGTCACTTACTGAAGTTTGGAACGAAGCATGAGGAATTCAGCTGTGGAGCACTTTCTGGAATGGAGGCAAGTTGCAAATGATTTTGGCCTGGTTCCAACACCAGAACCATAATTTGCTGACGTTCCAAAATAATCATGGCTAACAGCTCTAACCAGTTTATTGCTCCATTTTGTTGGATCACGATTTCCACTTGTTCAACGTCCACGTAATGGCTCCTAAAATACGCAACTAGCTACCCTTCTTGTAAACGGACATGCAACGGTGTCTACTGATGTATGAATTCACTGGAAGCCGCAATAAGTACTGTTTTGTTGGTCCAAGCTGAAAGGTCAATTGCCGTCGCTACGGCGGAATGCGA